CTCCCTGCCTGCCCGCCTGCCTGCCTGCTTTTTTGCAGGGCTGCTGGGAGTTGTGAAGGCGTGTGAGAATCCTGGGAGCTGGTGATGTCAGACCGCTTGGGTCATTTGAAGGTTAGCAGCCTGGGAAGGGTTCACGGAAAGTTCACTCGCATATATTAGGCAATTCAATCTTTCATTCCCTGTGACACAAGTAGTAGGAAGTGAGCTGTTCAGAGGCAGAAGGATCTATTCACGTCCGAGGGGGGATCCCGAGTCCCTACCGGAGCCGTTTTATCCCGGGGAGACGGGCGATCGGTGCGGCGAGGGACGCGGCACCCACCCGGCGAGCGCCCCGACAGCGGGACTGACTCTTGAGAAATTTTGGGGGGGAAATTGATGGGAGCTAAAACTTGGAATGCGGCTCGCTTCCCCCCATCTTGCTGGATTGGCTGGGCAGCCTGGAAAATGGTAAATGATCATTTGGATCAATTACAGGCTTTTAGCTGTGTTGTCTGTCATAATTCATGATTCTGGTCTGGGAAAAAGACCAACAGCCTACGTGCCAAAAAAGGGGCAGAGTTTGATGGAGTTGGGTGTACTTTTATGTGCCATTTTCCTCCACACCTAGAGGAAAGCACTTTTGCAGGCATTCTGTGCAGGGGGAATCATGTTTGACTGTATGGATGTCCTAGCAGTGAGCCCTGCTCAGATGCTGGATTTCTACACTGCGAGTCCGTCTTCCTGCATGCTCCAGGAGAAGGCTCTCAAAGCATGCTTCAGTGGATTGGCACAAACAGAGTGGCAACACCGGCACAGTGCTCAATGTAGGTCCCAACTGTTATTTTTCCACTTTAAAGCAATTATTATTGATTTATTATTATTATTGATTATTATTATTTGCATGTATTTAAAAAAGAACTACTTGTAATTAAGTGCAGGGGTAATGAGGGGTGGGGGGAGGGTTTGTGCAAAACGTGGTTTGCAAGTTGTTTTTTTTTTTCTCCTTTTGGCAAGAAAGGAAAAAGGAAAGAAGCACCGGGCTGCTTTCTGTTTATCCCTTCTCAAGTAGCATACTGATCCTAACAACAGTTGTGAAGCCAAGCAGGAACACATGAAATTATAATATAATACAGCAAACACTTGCAAAACTCCAACCAGTGAAGGACAAATTTACATAACATCTCTATAGGAGTTTTTTTTTCTTTGCTTCTTTAATCTAATTTTGTACCACGTTTGATAATCGGGATGCATGTTGTCTCAAAGTGCATTTTAAGCAGAGCAGCCAAGCAATTAAAATGCTGCTCTGTACAGTTCTTGAGAAGATGTGGAACTGCAGGGGATAGGTGCCATTCTAAAAATCGGACAGTAGTTTTAAGTTTCCTAAGAAAAGGCAATATTTCTTTGTACTGACCTTGCTGCCACCTTTCTTCTTTACTTTGTTGCTCTAAGAAGTTGCTGTTTTGCTAGAAAACTACTTGCTGTGAACACCCTTTGAGTTTAACCATCAATTATTTCTATACCTTGAGATCCAGGCAGCGTTGCACTGGTAATGGAGGAGGGAGAGTTAGTGGTAGGACACTTCTGAAAATGTATTATTACGTTAGAGGGTCTTGATTTGTTGCTGAAATACATAGATGGTAAACAATGGCAGCTTTTTAACACCACAGTTTCAAATTTGAGAAATGACAAGAACTGCCAGAAAGCATCACCTTATACTCTGCATAAAAGCTTGCAGGATGCTTCACTGCTCTGACGGTGATTTAGATAAATGGCTTGGCTATCTATCAAAATGTTTTTAGCACACTCTCGGGCACTTCAGTACACCATTGACCGTATAATTCTGTTTGAAATTTTTGTTAAAAAGTTACCTAGGAATTAGAATCGTTCTCCCTTCGATACAGTTTATCTCAAAGGCGTGGAGGGGGAAATTGAAAAGTAAATAAAAAAATGTTTGGTGAAGTAGCGAATGTTTCACTCTGCTCAAAAGTTTTCAGTCACCAGATGACATTTGTGTGGGTTGAGTAATGAAAACATAATTGTAAAAATCAGTGACTACCAGCCTACAACATTGCAAATATTTTGATGTCTTTACAATTAAAATTAGACTGTGAAGTTCAGCATGGGATGTTTATTTTCTCCGCGCTGTTTTCAAAGTGCTTCAAACATGATACGAAACAAAGCTTTTGCTTCAAAATAATGTTACTAGCTATGGGAGAGCTTCAGTTAGGGGGAAAAAAAAACTCAAACCAGATGTTTTGCTAAAAATGTGTTTTCCTCTTTCCATGGTTTAAACTTTAGTATAACTTCAGCGGTGATATTGGGGAAACTTGGAATTAAATAAAGTTTTCTGGAGTAGGAGGCATATGCTGTCGTAAAAAGCTTACATTTGCAAAATATTCTTTAAATAACTTCTGCTTTAAAAATGTCCTGCTCATTCTCTTGTATGTTGTTAATACCTAGAAGCAGGATTCTTAAAAACAAAATATATGGTGTTTGTTCTTGAGCAAGTTAAACACAGGATTACCCTTATCAGAATGGAATGAGTGGTAAATATGTCATTTGCCTAGGGCCTGTGATAAGAGACAAGTGTTGATAACAGCAAAGTTTAGCTAATCAAAGAAACTCATATTAACAAGGGTAAATAAAAAATACAGGAAAATGCATTCAGGAATCCAGTCTCGTAACTTTGTAAGCAATGAGATTAATCTTCACTGCATGGGAATTTAAAATCAGGCCGAAACCTGAATCATAATATGGTGGCTGTAACTTGAACTGTGAAAGTTAATGGTATAGAAATGTGGAAAAGCAATTTAGGTACTGTCCAAATGAAGAATTCTGTTTGATATCTAGAGCAAGTTTTGTTTTTAATTTTGAAGAAAGTGTGAGCGCTTTATGTGTAGGAATAAATATCTGTAAATAGATTGTAAAATACTAAAACTCTCTCAATGTGTAGGATTTTTTTTTCTTACCTCTCGGGAAAATAATGACAGAACCAGAATTTTTGTGGTCCACAAAGCTTTTAATGGTTTAAAGGTTGCTCCAGTGCTTATAAATACAAAGATAGCAATGTTTAATTCTAACTCAAGTGTTTCCTGATCCTCTATTTTTATGAAGACCTCTGTGATTCAGTGGAATGTAATCATAGCCAAATTTTGAAATTATTAGACAAGTAATAGATAGGTTTTTTGGTCTAGTTTGTTGTTTTATTTTTGGCTCTGCCATAAAAGCAGTACACCCGCAGCCATTGCTTTAGGCCTTAGAAATATTGCTTTGATAGAGACATGATTGTAGAGTAAAAGGTAAATGGTTGTTGAGGGAATAATACATGGATAGTGCAGACCCTGAACAGGCTAGTAACAATCCCAGACAGCATCAGCGTTTCGGCTGAAACGCTGGCAAAATTGGCCATTGCAAGGGTTAGGGCAGAATGCTGTAGGTCTGCAACTTCAGCTCATCTTCAGTATGTTAATCCCGTTACGATTCACTAAGCAAGCACACTCCTGCAGCATCACGAATCTTCTAGTCCACGAGGGTCTGCGAAGTAAAAATAGAGGGTAAGGCGCAACCCAAACATGACCTTAACTTGTGTGGTATTTTTTTCCTCCCCCCTGGGGGAGGAAAAACCTGCTATGGGTTGGAACCCAAACCTTAGCTACTGTATATTGCAAGATGTGTTATGAGCACGCAAAAGAAATACCTGATTTTGCGCTCATACATGTTTGGTTTATGTGGTATCAGTTATATCGTTATTGGTTTAAAAATAAAGTATTTATCTGCTAAGAAAATTACGGACTCAGAAATGATAGCAGAACTAACTGCACTTTTAATCACAAGTCATTCTCCTTTTCTCGTAAGACAAAAATCAGGTCAGTATAATCAAATGAAAAGAGAATAGTTCTTAAGTGGACAAAAGAGTTAAGGTTGCAAGAATAAGTAATTTATACTTTTTTAAGTAAAGTAGAATTTTCTGCTCCCTCGCAGTGCAGTGACAGCAATTACTGAGAGAAAACGAGTAACTTTTGGTGAAATGCGAGCTAAGTAAATACTGCAGAAGTGGGAACTGGACAGGCCCTGAGAGAGCGAGCTGCAAGGAATGGCGATTTTCCTTTGGCCTTGGAAAAGCCTATTAAAAAAAGTCTTCGTTAATTAAACAGGCAAAAAACCCAAATGAGCAGGCCCAATACAAGAGTAAGTCTGTTTGGCCGTATGTAGCATTTCAGCTAATTATGTCAAGTAGAAGACTACTGCCTACCGCATTTTGTTAGGTTTAGAAGAATAAGAAATTCGATGAAGGCAGAAGTTATGGATGTGGCAGCAGAATGTAATAGGATGTCGAGGCTCTTGTAGCATACAGTTCTTATTTCGGTTTGGTGGGAAGTGTTTGCCTAGAGAGGATCTAGCAGGTATTAACTTTCAGAAAGTTCGTGAAGGTGGGACTCCAGAAGGCACGCATTTTCCTTCTTAATTCTGGATTATTGCGATGTTCGGGTCAGGTTCTCGTTCCCTGCAAGGATTGGAAATACTGGAAACATCTGTGCTTAACAGAAAGAAAACTCAGTACTTTATTTTCTTTCATCTTTCTGAATTTAAAAACAAACATTTTGAAGTGAAGGACTTGTAATCTGCATTCCCAAGTATCAGATTGCTGCAGGTGTGTTTGCTAGTGCCCAGAAGGCAAGATCTGTTTGAACCAGGTTATTTTCTTTAAAGTTCATCTGTAAACTTTACAGCTAAATCGCTAGGACTGACTTGCTTAGGGATACAGTCTTTATTTAAATTTTTTATACTTGTGGGTTAATGCCCTGAACTATGCAATGAAAAGTGTTTGTTTCTGATCCCCGTCATTCAAAAAAAAAAAAAACAAAAACATGCACGGGGCTATTTTCCGCTCAAATTAACTGCAATGAGAACAACTATTCTCGATGTAGACTCGGATACAGTTAGCCTGATTCAGCTGCTGGCACAGGAAAACTCTAATGGACACGCACCACTGTCAAAAACTCCTGCAGACAAAACTGATGAGAGGCGTTCGCTGGTGAAGTTAGGGTGGGATAAGCTTGGAGGAAAAGCAATGTATCTTTGGGTGACTCCCTGCGCGCCTAATGAGTCTCTGCAGCCGAGGTGCAACTTGTCAGAACAAAGCCAGGCTGGCGGGGCGCTGCCTCGAAGAGGGTTACTGGGAAGTTTAAGGAGTTGAAAGAGAGAGATAATGTTTCAGGCAGCGAAGTTAGTCATCCTCACATCCAGTTAAATCCCCACTTACTGCTGAGCCTGTCTTCGTTAACCATGTGTGCGTCAGGCCTGCGCCGCAGCCCCGCCGAGCCGAGGGGCTTCGCACGGGGAGCGAGGTGTCCCGGTCGGCGGATTATGCTTCCACCTCCCTCCCCTGAACACCCCCGAGCTGCTGGTTTTGCTCAGGTCTAATTTACACACCGCCCTTTACGCCGCCGATGAAGTGCGGGCTGTGTTACACAGCCAGCATTTAGATTTGGGAGCGGGGTTGTGAAAGGGACATTGTGCTCAGGAGGACTGCTGGCCGCTGCCGTCAGCCGTGCCGTGCCCCGTCCTATTGAGACCTCAAAAGCAGAGCACAGCTGCGATGAGTTTCCAGATCTCTTTGGCCGTGGGGAACCGGGGCTGGTATGCGTGCGAGTCTTTGAGGAGGGGGAGCATCCCTCTCCCCCTCGCAGTTTCTGCCCGGGGGTCTGGCAGCAGCCTCCGAGCAGCGAATTTACAGGGGCAGGCGGCTGGGGCCAAATTAGTTGTGGTTTCGGAGGGCTTTCCAGAGCTTCGCTAGGCTGTAGCGTGCAGCCCCATGAGGAAG